TCTTTCCAACTCAGTAGAGCCCTCAGGCCTGGGCTCAGACTTCCTGGCTCAACTCACCCGGCTGATGAGCTGCTCGCCCGTCTCTGAGGCAGTGATGAGCTTGCAGAGGGCTTGGAGGGCAGGGTTGGGCAGACCTAAACCAAGAAGATGAGTGTTATCCAAAGGTGTCTTTGCACCCACAGTCCTGCTGCCTTCCCAGGGGAAAGAGCCCAAAACGCTCAGCATCGATGCTATTTTCAAAAGCTCAGAACAGTCCATGTCTGATTCGGAAAAGGAGAGAATGGTCTCTGAGAAAGGCGGGCGGGGGCAGTCCCGACCCTGCTGCAGTCCTCCAGGTGATGGGCACATTCCCAAGGCCCTGTCTCGGTCACTCAGGCGGCATCCCTGCCTCTGAGGCAAACACAAAGGGCAGCCTGGGGCATCTGCACCCTGCTTCACCCCCGGTGTTGGCCACGTGGCTCTGTCAGATCCGAAGTCACATATTAGATATTAATAGCAGCTGCTGTTTGCCCAGCATTATCTCATGTCACCCCAGGAAGAGGCAGAACCAGGGGAGTGCCCTGCTGGGCAGAGAACTCCTTGCCATTACAGATCGAAAGATCTGATCAAAAGCACTTTTCCTCCAAATGAGAAGTCTGTGGCTGGGACTGTGCCATTTCTCAGGATGCTCTCTCATTCTTTCCCAGCTATGAAATCCAGGACCCTCTGCCCATGCTGTCAGCCGCTCCCTCAGGGGCCCTGCCCTGCCTGAGGCTCACCCAGCAGGGACTGGATGGTGCTGCTGCACTGCTGGAGCCGGTCGCCTGGGTCAGAGGTTGGGAAGAAGACAGCTGCCGGTAAGCCGCTGGTCGGGGGGTCCAGCCGGAAGCCTACGGCAGTGAGGAGGGCCTGCCAACCGGGGATGCCGCCCACTTTGTTCTCCACGCTTTGCTGGGACGTGTACATGGCATTGCGCTGTCCATTCTGAATGCGCTGCAGGGACTTCTCCACCTGGAAAGGCAAGGGGCAGTGAGGTGCTGCTCCGCCCGGGCGCCAGTTCTGGTTTCTGAGTGGCGTTAGGGGAACACAATGCCCCATGTGTGAAGCCAGTGTAGGGTTGATTGCTGCTACCTGGGTACCCCCAGGCCGGAAGACACTGCAGCAATGGCCTGACTTCTTGCAAGGGAAGGTGCAAAGGGAAAGGATATTACAGTCAGAGCCAGCGAGGGCTGGTGTGATGCAGAAGAATTCTGTCCCTTTCCTCCTCCTGCTCCAGGCTCCTCCACAGACACTAAAGTGATCTCTCTGAAAGCCAATCTCAGGTCAGGGGCCTGCCCCAAACCATGTAATGGCTCCCCATCACCAGGATAAATTCTCAGGACTTCAAGACCCCCATTCACTGCCCCATACACTTCACACACACCAAGCCATGACCATCACGGGGCCCTGGCCAGCAATGCCCTTCCCTGTACCTCCAACTCGTCCTTCACTCGGCAGCACTGAACCCCTATGTCGCCCTCCATGACCGAGTGCCCTTCCCACGTTCCATGGCCTAAATGGAGCCTTCCATGACCTGGCGCACACGGGCTGAATTCATCCAAGTAACTACTGTGTTAACCCCCCATGAGCTCGCCACAGCTCCTCCAACAGCCTCAGGTCTTCCCCTGGCAGTTTCTCTCTAGGGAACGTCAGTCCATCCTGAGATACTGCATGCCCTGGGGCGCGAGTACCATCACTGAAGGGGCAGAAGAGTTGTTTCAGAATGTCACCTGAGACTTTCCTTATAGTAAAATCCTGATGCTGGGGGCTGACATCACAGGCTGGGAGAAATGAGTGTTCCTGGACAGAACAGATCACATTGGGCTAGAAGGGCCTGGGAGACACACTGCATACAGTATCGTGGGGCACCCAGGGTAGTTAGGAGGAGGTACGGGCTGGTGAACTTGACCCATAGCCTCTGTAGTCATACCAAAAGATGAAGCCAAGAAAGAAAACTCTTAAATGTGCCTGAGGGGCCTCAAGGCCAAAGAGGGAGAAGCTTAGCGGTCTGGCTCTTGCTCCGCAGCCTGGCCTGGGAGAAGCCAAATAGGAAGGGAGGTCAGTTTAGTACTCTAAGAAAAGGGCTGCTGCAAGAAAGGACGGTGACTTTGGGGGTGACAGGTACCGGAGAAGGGCCCTAGTGCTGAGCAACTTAAGGGCTCTGTGCAGTTTCCAGGCATAGGTTAAAATTAGTTGCGACGGTCTCCCCAAATTCTCAAAAGCAAGCAAACACAACTGCCCTGTAGCAGGCAGCTGGGTTACCTCAAGTCTGGCCTGAGAGCTGTCACAGCATTCTTACATGTTCACACGCTGACTTCTTTCAGGCCCGAGAAAAGCTCCTCAGGCCAGCCCTAAGCTTAAGAAACATACCTGACTGATCCATCAACAGGGATTCGCAGAGGCCCATGGGGCCAGAGCTTGCCTGCCCAAGGGGACATGCCTGGAACCCAGCACTCAGACTCCAAGCTCCCTGCTCAAAGCCCCAGTCCACTCCCAGGGCCTGTGTGGGACTGCCCCGGCCTGCCCGCTGGGTACAGACAGCCTGGAGTGCACACGTCTGTCCTGTGAGGCGGCTGCGGGGCAGCTGTTTGCATCAGGTTTGGAAAGAGCTTGGAAGTGGTGTGGGTTGTCTACCCTTGCTGCATGTGCCATCGACTGAAGGGGCAGAGGAGGTGTTCCAAAATCTGAGACTTTTCTTACATTAAAATCCTGGGCTGGTCATTTTGGCACAGAACTCCAAGAAGGCTAAGAAGTCTAAAGTACCTGAAACTGTCTTCCAGGTTATCAAGGTGGAAGGGTGGAACGAGTTTTATGTCACTGTTTCTTGGCTTAATTTATAACTTTCAAATGTGCAGACAATGGCATGGGACCTCCATTTGTACTCTCGCCTGGGCTCTGCAAAGGTCAGGGCTGACCGAGGTCAGGGGCAGGCTTGGACTCTTCTTCCAACTGAGCTTGGGGGAAGGCCAGTGTCACCTGATTATAAAATGCCATCTCAGCTACTAGAACCCTATTGTGTGCCAGCCACTCATTTTTTTCTCTAATCCTTATGATAACCTTGGGAAGTTAAAGTTTTATCCTCCCTTCCAGATGAGGAAATTGGGGCTCAGAGCCAAGGTCACCTGCCCAAAGCCACATGGCCCAGGAATGGCTGTGATGTGTGCCCTTGCTCCAGGTCACTCCTTGGCTGCCCCCTCCCTCAGAGTCTTGGCGAGGACTGCTGCAGCCGTCTGTATGACACCACACATCATGCCCACCACGGGGACCAACTGGCTTGACCCACAGACGCCTGGGGACAACATCCCTTCCACCCGCTCATCTCCCCCGGTGCCGCGGAAACCTCCGGCCACGCCTTCTTGTGCATTTCCAGCCATCTTTTGCTTCTTTTGCTCCGTGGAAAGCCCGGGTGAGGGGCTCCCTTGGCCCCCTTACCAGGTGCAGCAGCACTCGCAGGGCGTCCCGTGCACACTCCGGGTGCTGTAGGATCTCGGTGAGGGCCTGGCCGATGAGCGAGGAGGGGCTGTTCAGCTTAACATCATTCCCAATGAGCATGAACCCTGTGGAGAGCACAGAAGGGCACCTCAGAGCCTGCCCTCGCCCCAGCCAGCAGCTGGGAGACCCCCAGCTCCCACCCACTCCCAGACCCGGCTGGTCTCTACAGCTCACCAATGCCTCCCAGTTACCCTCCAGAAGACAGGGGCCTGTCCAGGACAGCTGCTCTAGGGGCTGGACTGTGGGGTGTCTAACCCACTGGAGAGCAGTCTGGCACCTTTCTGTCCTCTCCCTTTTAAGAATCAATACCGTTTAATTGCTCAGTAGGTGGAGAGTGCTGCTTTACAGTGCGAGTGGCTCAGGAAAGTGCCTTTGCTTTTCTGCTGCACTGTGAGCGAAGGCAGGAAAAGGCTGTCCCAAGGCTGTCCTGGGTCCCCCAGTGCCCTTCCCTGGCTTGGCCACTATGCCGAGGAATGATCTGCTTCATTTTCCCTGAAACTCATCAGTGTCTATCTGGTACATTCCCAGGGGCAGAGGTGAGCTCAGCTCCTCCTTGAGGCCACTGGACAAGAGGGCAGGAGGACGACCTCCCTCCGCTGTAAGAACCAGCAGACTGAGCCGGGCCAGGAAGACGCACACATTCACCTGGATCCCGTGCCTCTTCCTCAGTGCTGCTTCTAAAAGCAGGGCCTGGGCAGTGCACAGAAAGAGTAGTCTCCTCAAGTCGTCAAGCAACTTTAGGACCAACCTGCCCCCAAATAATGGAGGGGAGGAGAGGGGAAGAGTTTTCGAAAAGAATGAATGAACCTACGCTGTCTTGAAAGGGAACAGAACATCATTAAACATCATTTTCCCCAGAACAAAGTTGTGACTTTAAATTGTCACTAAAACTAAACAAGGACAAAAATACCACATCCCTAAGCGTATTGGGAATACAGAGAGGGGTTCCTATACAGAAGGGCAGGGGCCCCTGGCCAAGCACAGAGACCGGGTTCCCATGAACCCTACAGTGTGTTCTGTGGGACTACGCAGGACTCAAAGCCCCTTCTGACTGCGGAAGTGTATATAACAGACACCTTGTGCTCAAAACGATCACTGGCATTGCCTCTGATTTCTGCATCTTCTGGCAGCAGCAGTGTAGCAACATGGCCAGGTGCAAACCCTCAGTGCCTGCCTGCCCACCCTCCACCTTGCAGAACAGGGGCGGCCCTGAGGCGGGGCCCCCAAAGAGTAGGCCTGTTAGACCAACTGAATGTTTCTCTTCAGCCACATAAAGAAACAGGACAGATTCTACTTTGTGTTTTGGGTACCTTTTGAGAAATACTACAGTTGTGTTGTGTTTGTCAAGTAAACAGATGTTTGTTTCCATCTCCCAACAGTACGGCTCTTCCGCCTGGCCCGTGCCGTGGCAGCACAGCTCTGTGCCAGGGCCAGCCCCTGCGGGCTCCTCACTTGCTGGCCAATTCGGCCTGGGAACACCATGGCTGCACCTCAGAACTTGCCCAGCTTTGGAAAATGAAACCAGCAATTTCAGCACATGTCAACTGAACTGATTCTAAGAGGAAGAGTAAGGTAAAAGCTATTTTGTTGCCAAGTTTTAAATATATCTATGAATGGTACATTTTTTTGCCATTAAAACGATAAACTGTAAACGTTTGAAAATAGTATTTTTGGTGTTCCTCTGTTCCCAAGGTTTAAGGCACTGCTTTGTGGGTAGGTACCATGATTATAGCATTGGTAGAGCGTCCCGGGAGGTGCAGGGGCCAATTCTGAGAGACCGTCATGAACTGAAGGTCAGAAGGTGTGTCAGCAAAACCACCTCAGCTGGGTGAAGGGAACAGCCCAGAGCTGGGTTTGGACTCTGTGGGCCACAGCCTGTAAGGGAGGGTCCACAGGGACCCCAGGGGATGCAGGTCATCACATGGAGCTGAGAGGCAGAGTCTCTCGCCCCACCTCCGGGGACCAGCTGTCACAGGGAACATTCTCCCTTGGCCCCCCTCATCCCCTGCGGCAGGCCCACTCAGAGCATGCGCTGTTGGCCTTCTCGGATGTGTAGTTCCTCACATATCACAAGACTTTCAACCCACTCTTCACAGATCATCCCACACATGGACAGGAAGGTATCATCAGTACCACTGTCATCAGCCCCCTGTCACCACTGAGGACACTGAGCTTCAGAGAGGGTAGGTAACCTATCCCAGGTCACACAGCTTAGACATGGAGCTAGATCAAACCCAAGTCTTCCAAATAGCAAATCTAGGGCTTTCTACCACACTATTCTTTTCTATAGTCATTTACATGAGGTGCCATAAAACCCAGTAAACACTAACCTCAGGAGGAGTTTTACATTCACACTCTGATGACAAACTGTTCTGCTGCTCCCTGGTCCAAGGACTATTTTAATACCAGGACAGTAAAAGACTGATTTGGCAGAGGACAAAAGTCTCAGCAGACGAGGCTCTCCTTCTGAATCTTCCCATGCTGCCTTTTCTGGTACCCCGCCCTGCCCTCCCCACCGCGCCCAGGAGCTCTGAGGACTGACCCCCAAGGCCCCCGACAGAGGTGCTGGTGCCCATGCTCCTACCTGCCCAGTTGGAGGGGTGCGAGAAGGCCTTGCTACTCTGCACCACCTTCATGGCCTCCCCCAGAGCAGCACTGGTCTTCAGGCCATTCAGCAGGGACGAATAGAAGGCGTGGAGAAACGTCTTGGAAGCTGCCACTGACACAGGCCACAGAGATACGAGGACACACTGTGCACCAGCAGCCAGGAAGGCCCGCGTCAGCGCGATGACCCCGTCGGCTGTGACTTTGCTGTTGGACTCCTGAGAGGAGCCGAGGACCACCAGCTTCACGGGGAGCCGCAGGTCCAGGACGTCGGCAGCCGTGAGCAGCAGCTCCTGCAGGGGTGGGCAGTCCGAGATGCTCTCCCCGTCACTGGCGTCGTCCTGCACC